TCCTTCAGTTTTGTAAAATAACCCAATTTTCTTATAATAAATTTATTGCTTAAGCAGTTTCTGTTCCCTGTCAAAAGAGAAAAATAGTAAGTGTAGCTATTTGTAATTGTTTAATATAAAAGAATATATTTGGAGTCTAAATCTAAAATGTAATTACTTTAACTGAGTGAATAAATAACTTTTTGGAAAGTACTGTGATATCTTGTATGGTCATTAAACATACAAATACCAAATTGTGCTAGGAAAAAGAGGCTTAAACCAGGCACAAACAATATCCTTTAAATTACTGGGGTGTCTTCTCTGAATTGTAGTTTTAGCTTAGAATGGAAAAATAAAAATACCGGTTAATATATTCAAAATTGTAATCAAATGTTAGAAGAAAATGAATCATAAATGCTTAGTCAACAGAGATGATCACATCTCTGTGGTAATCCTGTGGTTTTAATTCACAGATGAAGCAGAACGGGGTAAATGATAGTGTCTTAAAATGAAAAAAATTTCAAGCTCTAATTAAGTGGAGATCCAATAACAAAATACTACTGCATTTCAGCATCTGTTCATTAGAAAGCAATAACACCTTCATATGTCTTTCTAAAATTACATTTCCCAAGCTGTGGCATCTTTTGCTGTTTTACTCATGGTCATAAAGAGTCCAGAGTTGAATATAATCTGAACCATCACACCAAGTGCCCTCTAGTTTTCTGTAATGAGTATAAGTGGTCTGAAGGAGTCCTAGAAGGCAGGAGTCTAACATAGTGATTCAGGGTGTATAAGCTCCAGACTAAAACCAGTGTGCTAAAATTCACATCCTGAATCTGCCCTTGCCTTTAATGTGATCTTAGGCAAGATATTCAAAACCCGTAAATTTCTTCATGTAAAATGAACTGAACAATAGTAATAACTGTCGTTCTGAAAATTCATTCATTTACTTTAAGTGCCAGGTGCATTTCTAAGCTTCTGGAAGCTATGATGAAAACACATGTAAAAATAACTACTCTCATGAAAGCCCACATTCTTTGATTTTTGTATCTAAAAGTCTAATTACAGCGTCCGGTGCTCAACATAGTCTAGATAAGTGTCAGCTGTGAGAATTACTGGCAGAGCATAGCTCATCTAAAATCCAAAATCTGAAAATTTCTGGGTGCTGACATGATGACATAGTGGAAAATTCCACCCATGACCTCATATGTGTTGCAATCAAAGCACAGGTATGCTAAAGATATTTTATAAAATGAACCTTCAGGCTATGAATACAAGGGGTGTAGGAAACACGAATGTAAACTTGTGTTAAGACTTAGGTCCTATCCCCAACATTTCTCATTATGTATATGCAAATGTATCAAATTATGAAAACTCCCGGAAATCTAAAGCACTTCTGGTAAAGCATTTAAGATAAGGAACACTCCAGTGGTACTAGAATGGGAAAGAGTAAAACACTGGCATTCCAATGAGAGAGAGTATGTCAGAATGGGGTCAGAAAGTCTAAGACCTACCAGTGGTCCTGCCACTAACTGGGTGACCTTCATTTAAGCTCTCCTGGCTTTAGTTACTTAATGTAGTCTTAAGTACCTTCTATTAAGTATATGGTAGATCAAGAAATAGGAATGACAAGTTCAGAAAGATCAAATTTCAGTTTTATACACATATATTTTTTCCACGTGTTTATTTTGTTTTACATAGTGATAAGTATGATAGAAAATGGTTTATAGAATGATTATTAAAAAAATGAAGTTGATTAAAACTAAACTAAAATACAAGACTTTCAGGAGTCCTCAAGCTATAAGTGGAAATTGTTACAATTAGAAACTTATGAGTATCAACTTCAGAGTATTTCCTGGAAGTCACAACAACAACAAATGAATTAGTTATTTCTTAATGTAATTATATGTATCTATTTTATAGCTGTTTATACTTGCTTTTCCATAAAAAGACACTGTTGTGTTTTCATAGCAATAAAAATATTAAAGTTAGAAAAGTGTATACCCCGAAAGTTAAAGAAAGAGACTATATTCGGGCAAGACAATTACAATATTTTAAGTACTGAGTTCTAATGACCTCTAATTAGTAACTGAACAAAATATGTAAGTTCATATAAAGTTCAAAGCATAAAGTTTTGCTTGTATTTACTGACAAATTATAATTCAGAGACATGCATTTATTTTAGTAACATTTTAGAATGTCAAAAATGGGGCTTAGTGATTTTGCTCCTTGCTGAAAAGAGACTTTTGATTGTGTTTTTATTTTAATTAATTTCTGACATATTTCATTAGAAATTTTTCCAAACAGGAAAATAACTTTACTATACTAAGCACTATAACATTTTTTATATTCTTTGTTTAATGTGTCTTGAATGTTTCTTTCAACTACAAATGAAGTGAACTATAAGTGAAATAAGTGGAATTTTATTTACTGTGATTACTACTGTCAGAGAACCAGTTGTACAGGCTGGTGATACAAACAGGTTCTACAACACAGTTCACTACTATAAAAAACTGAACACAAAGAATGACTTATTTTCTTAATACAATACCATGTATTGGTGAAGCACTACAGTAAAAAGAAAACAATAGATTCATCTAAAGGAGCATTCACACAGGTTTGAATAAAAAAACGACCAGTGGCTGAAGATATAATTCATCTACTTATGTTTAACAAGAGAAGAAATAAAATAGAAGACAGTTTAGGAGAATTCAATAGAAGCGATAATAGAAAAATATTATACTGTTACTATAAAGTGGTCAGTGAGGAAAAATCACATCAAACATTTATGAGAAAGAAGATAATAAAAGATATTCTGTGCCAAGCATAACAGATTTGGGGCTTGTGTGTTAATGCTTGTCAGATGTGAATGATCAATTACTGACTCCCTGTAGCTGGAATCCTCAATACAGAGAGAGACTACTGAGCACTAAACTTTGACACTCCTGCTGAAACCTATTCATCAAACCTGTTCTTAGCCACACTGTTCAAGATGTTCAACTGGGAAACCTTCCCAACAGGCAAAAGGTACAAGTCTATGTGCAACCTGCTAGGATTTGTGGTCAAGCAACGGTTGACTTTCAAAAACCTATGAATGCATAAAAATCTTAGAAAGCAAAGTGGGAAAACATTACAGCAGATGATGCTACAATTTGGTGCAAAAGATAAATTTTAAACAGTTAACTGTCATTTGCAACGTAAAATGGCTTTGGCTCTAATGATAAAAAAAACCAAGACATCTGTGTGAGAAAAAAGAAATCATTATAAGCAGCAAGAAATTCAAACAAAGGTTTCTCAATTGCAATGCATTAAAAATTAAGGAATATTATTGGTAACTGGCAAATGAGTAAGATAATCTCACTAATGTACATTTATTATGGCTTAAAATCATAGATTGCCTAACAGTCTAAAAACATAGACAAAATGAGTAACTAAAGAATTTGATGCAGTATTTGATAGGAAAAACACCTCAACATCTCAACGAACTCTTTATATTAATGTAATTTAAAACAATGTTTATCCCTTGTAAAATTAATTATAATACAATTTTATATGAATTAAAATGCTTTTTAAAGTATTCAAAAATAAAACATAATGTGACATAGTTTACAGAAAGTAAAAATAAATATAATGACAGTGGCTTAGGTTTAGTTGTCTTAACTTTCAAGAAAATTACTTGAAATTAATTTTTAGATGTATGTAAATGTTGAACCATATTTGAAAAGTAGGTCACAGTTTCAAGTTCCAGAACTGAATAGTTAGCAAAATGTTTTGGGAAAATTAAGGTCAAGAATATCTATTGAGATCAAATAAACATACCATAAAGATGAAGATAACTTTGTTTTGCTATTGTAATATGTATTATACAGTGTTACTAGAATGTCAAGTCAAAGGTCATATAATGAGAAAAGTGTACTTCAGTAATTAAACCAGCTTGGGTGGTCTATAATAGCTCAATCTGACATGAACTCTATTCTAATATTACACAGTACAATGCACTGTTTCCAATGAATACAAACTGTACCAGTTCCCTACTTCACTTTACATATGGACACTTAGCCATATTTAGGACTGAAATGAATTCTGCATTGACCTTTAGGAGTAAAGATCACCTGCAACTACAAGCAACTAAAAAAAAAAAAACACAATCTATAAAACATTGAGACATTATGCATAATCACGGAGTGTTTTCTAAAATCT